TACACCAACTTGAGGCTTCATTAAGCTTTCAGATATATCTCAAGGCTTTCAGATATATATCAAAACATTAAAAAAAACTATATTTTGTAACAAAAAAAAAATACATTTATACTGAATTTTAATCCAAACACATGCATATTCATACAGTTTCATAAATATGTAATAAATATAAAAGATACATTTAAAAATATAAATATGATATAAACTCATTGATCTCCATCCCATCACTCAAATTTTACTTTGTTAAGTCAAAAAAATTTTCAAAATGACAGTAATGTCCCAGCAGAAACATCATACAAGCTATAATGTGTTTCAATGGGAGTGTGTGTGCCATGTGTGTGTGTGTGGATATGTGAGTTTTTTGTGCACTGAGGACATTCTGCAGTCTCAGCCCTTTGTTTGGGTATGCATCTTTTCTGGATTGTGTCAGATTTTGTATAGTCAAAAAACTCAAATAAATGAAAAAATTCATTTTCGGTGTGTGTGTGTGTGCCTGTGTGTGTGGATATGTGAGTTTTTTGTGCATTGAGGACATTCTGCAGTCTCAGACCTTTGTTTGGGGAATGCATCTTTTCTGGATTGTGTCAGATTTTGTATAGTCAAAAAACTCAAATAAATGAAAAAATTCATTTTCGGACATTCCATTCATTCCTATGGCCGGGTCAAAATGAATGTAATACTTGTGGGTGTAATACTTTTTTTATTACACCCACATAGAATCCTCGAATCGGCTCAAATTTTTTTGTGCTTTGTGCTCCATGCTCAAGTGTGACAAAATTAAATTAAAATAAATCTGCAGTTTTTTTATGTAAATTCCATGCTTTTCCAGTGGCAGGTCAAAATGACCCGCGAGGGACACTTTTGATACTTTTTTTTAATAGCACCCACGTAAACTGCTCGAATTCACTCGAATTTTTTTTCATGTATTCCCGGTTCAAGTGTGACAAATATAACAAAGTCTCATACCATAAAGATCAACGCTCGATTTTGAAAAAATCTTTAAAAATGAGTTTTGGGTCAAAATGACCCGAGGGACGGATGAGGGTTAAGCACCTTTATTTTTAAGAGTGTGCCTGGATATCTGCAAAATGGTCTGCAGAACATTTACTGAGAGCAGTAACTCATTAAGCATAAAATGCTGAACACATGACAGGGAAGACAACAGTAGACAGAGATATGTGGTTGCTAGATTTTTGGCACAAATTAAATGCCATATCCATTGACTTCTGCAGTTGTACTGAGCTATTGGTATTTTCTATCCTCTAACCCTAAATATGAACCTCACCAAACTTTTTGTATTTTTACATGCTCATACAGGCATATTTTATGAATGGGGCAGGTCACTCTAAATAAATACCTACCTACCCCTACCTACCTCATGTTTATATGATCCTCAAACCCCGTTGCACACCGTTTCCAGGAAACATGTCGTTCAAACCGGAAACCGTAGCACACCGGTGCACACCGGTTTGAGCTTGAACTTGCCCCAGTATAAAGGCATGCATCTTCCTTTTGTTTTGTTTGGAAAATAAATAAATAAATACAATTGTACTACGAATCTTTTTTACATTTAATTGTTTAGTAGCTATTAATTGTTTTTTTCCCTGTATTTCACAATATACATATTTAGCCTCTAACTAATTGACACTTTCATTTTACAGGTTTCATTTTGGCAAATGTTGCATGTCTGTGCAGGAATAGTAAACGCATAAAATGTGTGTGGGCGGACTGTAATCTGACTCCTCTTCTGCTGTATTTATTAACGAGACATCGTTCGATAGAAGGACAGTGAAACGTCAGCACGCCCCACCTCTGCTTCAGTCAGTCAGAGAGATTCAAATGACATGTTAAATGACATGAGGATACACTTCAGCTCCAAATCTCTCTGCTTCATACGCCTGCCTTATTATATGACGAACAACGGTGCAAAAAAGGGAATTCTTAGCAATATCACCTAAAACTACTTATTTCATATTGCTTAGTTTACGGTCCACAGAATGAAAAGCTTCGTGACGGTGTGCTGTCTGAGTTTTCTGCTGGGTCTTGTGGCTGTAGTTGAGAGTGATGAAGACTACACTGAGGATGAAGAGATGATCCTGTCTTTAATTCTGCAGGATGACACCCAGCCTGAAGCAGAGAGCAGGCCATCCGCCCAGTTTTACAGGTGCACTAAGGTAAGATCACCTGCTAAATGAACTAATTGTGGGACTGGTAATATTACCTGATATTAACTTTAAAAATATTAACAAAAATGCTTCGTTAAGGAAAATACTTTGGGGTGGAAATAGGTGAATAGGGGGAAAAATAAAAATACATAGGAAAAATCGCTGCATTTCTGTGTCTGGGGTGTTCAGTGGACGGCACGTCCTGATTTTGCTGAGTTAGATGTGTTCGTTTGGAATTAATCGCATGAACAACTTATTCTTTTTATGAAATTAAAAGACACTATTTCTGATATATGAAAGGTTTGTTTTCTGTTAATCAAGCAAAGTGCATTTACTAGCCTATGTCTTACAGCATGCAGATTGTTTAATTCTTAGGTCAGGTGTATCAAATGAAATATAAAAAAATATAATTAGCTAATAATGCATGTATAATTAGTCATTTGCGGAGTGATACTAATAAACAAGTCGTAAGTTTTTTTTCCGTAGAGCATCAGGCACATATGGTTATTGTTAGTCCTGTTATAATTAGTTCTGTTAACATGTTTATATATATAAACTTATATAACTTATATAAACAGTAATGTCAAAAAATTAAGATGTTTAAAAGAAAATAAAAACATACATCTGGTGTCAGTATTGTCATATGCCAAGGAAGTCTAAAATAAACGCTCTGTACGTGTGGGACGTTTGGAATGAGGAGGTTATCAAAATCAGTGTGAATCAAATGGCCTACGTCGTGTTTTACACGCAGGACGCGTGGCGCATGCCAGGTCAGTATATAGTGGTGATGCGGAACGGAACGCACGTGAACCAGGTGGAGCGCACCGCGCGCAGACTCCGCGCAAAAGCCGCCAAACGCGGATATCTGATCGAAATACAGCAGACTTATTCAGGAGCTTTCCACGGGTTTCTGGTGAAAATGAGCAGCGATGTTCTTCACATGGTAATTTGCAAACATTATTACATAATGCTCACAATTTCATATTTTATATTTAAGAATGTTTGTTCAGTCTGATGGACTGAAAAAAAAAACATGAAAACAAGTACTGGAATTACAATAATTCTTAAAAATACACATTGCCTGTCTTCTTCATTCCATTGCCTTTGATTTTGGCAGGCAGTAAAGCTGCCCCATGTGGAATACATTGAAGAGGATTCCTCCATCTTCGCCCAGAGCATCCCATGGAACCTGCAGCGCATCCTTCAAAACAAACATGAGACTGGAAAATACTCACCACCAAGTGAGCTGACGTTTTCCCCTCTTTCCCAAACACTTTGTTACTTCTAAAAATATGTTCTGAGATCCTGAAGTGAACCCTTTTCCTATTTTTTTTATGGTAATAAAGTATTAAATCTACAGAGCTGTAATGTTTGTGTGTATGTAGATGACGGAGCAAAGGTGGGAGTGTATCTTTTGGACACAAGCGTTCAGGTGACTCATCGCGAGATTGAGGACAGGGTGATGGTGACGGACTTCAACAGTGTGCCGGAGGAGGATGGGGTCAGAGTTCACAGACAGGTAGTTGAATGTAATAAAATGTGTTTTATGACAACTGGATAATTTTAATAGCTAATAAGAAAAAGTATGTCCATCAATTCCTGCGTTCGTCTGCCCACAGGCTAGTCAGTGTGACAGTCATGGCACGCACATAGCAGGTGTGGTCAGTGGACGGGACTCGGGTGTAGCTCGAGGTGCCAGTGTAAACAGCGTCCGAGTGTTAAACTGCCAAGGCAAGGGTACTGTGTCAGGAGCTTTGGCAGGTAAACCAAAACATAAATAATAATTGTATATAACTATTAAATACACATACAAGTTATATTAACCTATATATTAATTTAGAAAAATGTTTTATAAGTAATTTCTATTTAGATGTATTTAGATAAAGTAGATCTTTGCAGAATTTGCATTAATTGACCCAACTCTGTTGCAGGTCTGGAGTATATTCAGTCGTCTCTGATGTCTCAGGCTATCAGACCTGTGATCCTACTGCTGCCATTTGTAGGGGGATTCAGTCGCACCCTCAACGCTGCCTGCAGGAAAATGGTGGAATCTGGTGCAGTGCTTGTTGCTGCAGCTGGTAACTACAACGATGATGCTTGTCTGTACTCACCAGCCTCAGAGCCTGAGGTACAATGGATTCAATTCTTCAGAAAAGCAATTGCTTGTCAATATATTCGGTTTTGACATGATTTGGTCCTCTGCTGCAGGTGATAACAGTAGGGGCCGTTAATTTTGCTGACCAGCCCTTGAGCACTGGGACGACAGGCACCAACGCGGGCCGCTGCGTGGATGTGTTCGCACCCGGTGATGACATCATCAGCGCGTCCAGCGATTGCTCCACCTGCTTCACCACCAAGAGTGGAACGTCACAGGCAGCGGCACATGTTGCTGGTTAGCACCAAAACATGCCTAAACTATGATATTTTGTTTTATCGGTCTGTCCTAACAGCTGTGTATTTTCAGGTATAGCGGCGGTGCTCCTAAATTTGAATCCGAACTCTAGTTCTGCTGAGCTTCTACAACAGCTCCTCCATCATTCAGTCAAACAGACCATTAACCCAGAGTCTCTGCCACTGAACCACCGTCTCTCTACACCCAACATGGTGGTCGCCTTGCCTGACCCGACCTCCACACTCACAGGTCAGAGTTCACAAGAAAAACTTTATTTAAATGACTCAACACTGTGGCTTGCTGAGCAATGTCAGTAATAGTCTGGACTGACAGAACAGTCTGATGATGACTCTAATACTGTAATCAGCAGACTGTAATAAATTCATAATGTAATATAACAACCTTATTAATATTTAATAATAATAACAATCTTTAATTCAACATTATAATTAGCAGATTACAATAAATTTTGTATATAATATAATATATAATATAATATAATACAAATCTTCTTTCAGAACCATTGATAGACTATTATAGTTTTTAATATTTTTTTAATGAAATCGTAATTTTGTGTTAAAAATTTTAAGAAAAATGTTATTAGTTTAAAAAAAAAATCGCATTCCAAAATAAAAGTTTTTGTTTACATAATATATGTGTTTGTATTGTGTATATTTATTTTGTATATATAAATACAAACACATGCATGGATATATTTAAAAAAAAAATGTTACGTTCATATGTTTAATATATTTATATATTATATGAATTTAAATATATACACATACATACATATATATACACATGTAAATACGTGTATTTTCGCCCAAGCTGGTTTAGTTATTTTTGCAGGTAGATTTTAAACAGTACTAACCATGTCCAAAACATATTGGCAACCATTAAGGTCATTTAATTCCGCTACATGTGTGTTCTCTTACAGGAGAGGATTTACTCTGTAGATCCGTTTGGTCTGAGCGGTCAGCTGCTAAAGGTTTGGCCACAGCTACAGCCCGCTGTCGTCACGGTGAAGAGATGCTGAGCTGCTCCAGTTTCTCACAAAACGGAGCAAGAGCTGGAGAAAGAGTGGAGGTGATTAGCAAAGAATGTTTGTTTAGATTGCTCAAAAATAAAAAAGTTAAGTTAAAATAATATTTGCTCACCAAAGTAATTTCCTTTCTGCCAGGAGAGAGATGGGCAGAAAGAGTGTGTTGCTGTCAATGGGAATGGAGGGCAAGGTGTGTTCGCTGTAGCGCGCTGCTGCACAGGCCATAAAGCTCAGTGCCAGATGTTAGAGAGTCCCCAGAGAGGTGCGGATGCAGAATGTCCTCCAGACCACCAGCTGACAGGTGACAGATGGTTTCACACTGCAGCGTTTTTCATAAACTCAGGAAATTATCATTAATTGATGGAATGTTCTGGGTTCAGGGGAAGTTAAAAGTCTGTTGGGGTTTTTTTCAATTACCAGACAATAATCTCAGACAAAGAGATGTCCATAAAGTTTTTTTTATAAAAAAAAAAATGTTATTAATAATAAAAAAATATGGTTCATAATATGAATATTAATAAAATAACATTTTATTTGAACATTTTAATACCTTTTTTTTTTCAATTCTTGTGAACTTTTTATTGAGCTTTTGTTTTGAAATAATTCATACAAAAATGAAAATTTCAACCCTCAGGCCATCCAAGATGAGTTTGTTTCTTCATCGGAACAGATTTGGAGAAATTTAGCATTACATCACTTGCTCAGAAAATGGATCCTCTGCAGTGAATGGGTGCCGTCAGAATGAGAGTCCAAACAGCTGATAAAAACATCACAATAATCCACACTACTCCAGTCCATCAATGAACATCTTGTGAAGAAAAAAGCTGTGTGTTTGTAAGAAACAAATCTATCAAAATGAGGCATTTTAACTTGCCTGGCCAAAATACAAGTCCATAATGTATAATGATAATGCTTCCTTCAGTGAATAAGTCAATCTGTTTTAACTACATATTTCTCTCCTGATTCAGATGAAATGACTTTCACTGGAGAAAGCATTATTACTAATAGAGTTAAAAACATCTTGATGACGGATTTGTTTCTTACAAACACGCGGCTTCACAAGACGCTAATTGATAGACTTGTGGACTATTGTGATGTTTTTATCAGCTGTTTGGACTCTCATTCTTACGGCACCCATTCACTGCAGAGGATCCACTGGTGAGCAAGTGATGTAATGCTACATTTCTCCAATTGGAAGAAACAAACTCATCTAGATCTCAGATGGCCTGAGGGTGAGCAAATGTTCATTTTTGGATGAACTGTTCCTTCAGTTCACTTAATGATTGAAGTTTCTGTTGTCGCTGCCGATGAAAATCAATTTGAATTGAGTTCTCTATGCTAAACTACAAGACAACTTGTTTCGTTGTATATTTATGTACACAACTGTCATCTTTCCCTGCAGGATGCAGTTCTTCCTCTTCATCTGGAGATGCATCGGACTCTGAACGACCTCTACATGGCATCCGCAGGGCATGTCCTGCTAAAAGGGATGTAACGTCATACGCCTCCTGCTGCCACACATCCTCTCTGGAGTGCCGGCTGAAAGAACACGACTCTATGGGTCTCAGCGAGCAGGTGACTTACTCTCAAGAAGTTTCCATTGACACAATGAACACAAAAACTAATGTATGGCTTCTAACATTTGTAACAGTTGCAGTTTAAATCCTGAATCTGTTTTACAACTGTGGATTCATCAAAACATGATTTGGTGTATCTGAGCAACTTTAACCTGCATCTTTCTTTCAGGTGGAGGTTTCATGTGAAGACTCGTGGACACTGACAGGCTGTCAGGGTCTGTCACATGGTTCTGTCGTTCGTGGGGCATTTGCTTTGGGAAACACCTGTGTAGTTCATACATCTGGAGGAGATATAGGAGCTGCCGCCATCGCCACCTGCTGCAGGCACCGCCTGTCCCACAAGCCATCTGACCACTGAGGGATGTGTGTTCTTTGTTTCTCACTTCTCTAAACCATGGCCATAACTGCTATAACACATATAATAGTTGGAGGTGTTACATAAGTGAGCTCAGTTCTGTCATTACGCAATATTACATGACAGAGAAGTGCATTGTAACCAGTTCTGGACATAACCATATTCAATCTAGAAACTCTACAAGGAGCGCTAAAACACTTAGAATTCATATTAGACATATTAGAATTCAGACTGATGCCGATAATTATTTTCATGTTATGGCTATAAAAATTCTCTACTATTTTCCTTAAATAATAATAAAAAAAAACACTAAAATTGATGATCAATTGTTTTAAAATCTACAAGTGAATTCAGGCATCATTGAAAAATGGGTATTCATTTTGAGATTTGCTAAAAATTACGTTTAACAGTAGTAAAGCGAGCATTAGATGACAGCTAACTATAAAAATAGAGGAAATAAGCATGTACAATGAAATATAGAATATCAGTCAATATATTTAAAATATGTAGCAATACTGCTTAATTAAAAAAAAAAAAAAACAATATCGGTAACCGATATTATAGATAATACCACTTTGACTGTATTTAGGACTAGCACTTTTCATTTTTATATTAACAGAATATATTTCAAATGTGTACCAATACTGTTAAATTAAAAAAATATCCAATATCGGTAACCGATATAGATAATACCACTTTGACTTATTCAGGACCAGCATTTATCATTTTTATGTTTGCACATATTCTAAATTGAAACAGAGGTCTATTTTCATTATTTCTGGCAAGAGCATTATCTCCTATTATGCATGTGCACTGTGTATAAGAGTGTAATTCTTTTTATAAATGTATATTTTTGTATTGCAAATCTTATGACAAATTCATGTAATGGTCTACTTCAGACTTGGCAGATACAAAATCACACAGTCTGCAAAGTTGTGCATTCCAGTTTTTCCTTTTTATATCAAATGTTTTCATTGTCAAACTCTGATGTACAAATTAAAATGTGGTTTTAACATGCATTAACAGATTCCTTTACACACTCGCAGCAGAAATGAATCAAAGAATCACCAGTTATTAAAAACTCTTCAAGCATCTTTAACCCTGTCCTGACACCCAGCTTAAAAACACAAGCCTCGTCACAGATCTACCGAGCGGTTGGTACAGCATCTACAGGTGTAGGAAAGGTTAAAAAAGATTGATTGGAGGGAGGAGGATCAGATTTGTGGATAGTTTTAACACACCCTGTTCACTCAAGTACACCATATTTCAAAGAAGACTACAGCACTGGTTATAAACTGTAACTCCACCATATCTTAAAGGCTCCTTTAGTGAAAACCTAAGCAGGCAGTTGAGCTGAAATGAGTGATATCTTTGCAAATGTGCATATTTCAGCAAAATAAGAAAGATGCCTTATGTTTAGGCACTGATCTGATGAATTCTGCCCTCTATTGTAACTGAACCGTGTGCCTTTAGTCTTGAAACGTTTCAAAATAATCCTCCGGTCATCCTAAAACCTAACTAATGCTCCCAAACACTTACCACATCTGCTGCAGTGAATTAGCAGTGGACTATTTACTGATTCAAAGCATGAAGGCAGTTGTGAGTACTGCAGTGTTTTGCTGACTATTAGAGGCCAAAACCAAGAGAAAGAGACAAAAAGTCAAAGACCATACTGAAAAAGACTGCTTAAACCAGCCTTAACAGGTTTTACCAGGCCTTTGGCCTGATCAATCTTGAGTTTAGTTGCCTCAAGGTACTCTTAATATCAGCAAACCAGGCTGGCCATGTTGAAAAACAAACAAACATGTTGTTGAACCAGTTTGAGATGGTCTGCTAGTTTTATCAGGTCTTCCAGCCTGACTAATCTTGAATGTAAGTACCCCAAACCACTCTACAACCAGCAAACCAGGCTGGCCATGTTGAAAAACAAACAAACATGTTGTTGAACCAGTTTGAGATGGTGTGCTGGTTTTATCTGGTCTCCCACCCTGACCAACCTAGAGTTTATGTGCCCAAAACTCCCCTAAAACCAGCTAAGGAACCAGGCTGGCTCTGTCATCTTAAACCAGTCTAAGCTGGTTTGCTTCTCTTAGTTGCTCTTCCAGCCTGATTAGGCTGGTCTGTTGGCTGGCATTGAATGTTTTTGGACACTAAACCACCTAAACACAACTTAGCCGGGCTGAGAAACCAGCATAAACCAGCAAATCCACTTAGACTGGTTTAAGATTTATTCTATAAACCACCTTCTCTCAGCGGTTTCGGCCAGTTTATGCAGTTCTTTTCCAGCAATAAAGTCTCTCACACATACAAACATGCACAGAAGCGCGTGAAAGTTGCGAAGAGCAGGTGACTGAGGTAAAAAGCAGCACTAACGTTTGTGTGAGGTGGCATTGAGGTCCTTCCGCTGTAAACATTGAAGCAATGTCGCTAAGTGTTCTAGTCTAAATACAAAATGAGCAGCAAACGGCAGCTGAATCACCCTGCAGACTCCCTGAAAGCAGGACATCACAGGCTCGGCTCAGACAAGGACCGTGACACACGAGACGCCGCCTGTGTCCTCGTATGGCACTCTGAGATGAGCGTGGCCGAGCCATCCGAGTATACGCGTGTGCGTTGTTATCGTAATGTCGAGTGGGTTCAGGCATTTGTGTAGCACGACGTGTCCACTGGTTTGTCTCAAGGCGAGGACGCGAGCGGCGTAGGGGAGGAGTCGAGTAAAGGCACTTTACTACTCAGTGAGAACTTTCCGGTCCCTCCAACAACCTCCGTCTTTCTCTTTCCCCTCCCCGCCCCATCCTCACCTTGTCATCCGATTTGCATTGCGTAAGGCAGACTAAATGGAAAAGATGCAGGTAAACAAACAAAAAAAGGACAAATGTGGCAAAATAAACCCTGAAAAGTGTCTTCACGTCCCTAGATCTTTATACCAAAGCAGCACGAGACAACATCAAAACAGACGAACAAGAAAGAAATGAGACAGTTTTTCAATGACAAACTCTGCTGATTGTAGCACTCATTGTCTTTCAGGAAGAAGAAAAGCTCATTGGACAGTAGCGTCTCTGTGTGTTGCATATGTGTCTCCGGACGCATCTGCTGATGCGATGTGTCTTCCGCCGTAAGGTCCGTCCTCAATGTCCACCATCATATTTCTGTCTAGCACTTGCGTAAACAGCTTGTGTCTTTTCCTGCATGCTGTTCCTATCCAAGAAACTCGATGGACAAGAGAGCAGCGAGGGACGTCCGCTATTGTCTCCACGTGATGAATTTCTCACAAACTGAATTCAAATATAAAGTGCTTTAAAAAATACCAGCAAGAAAAAGGAAAAACGGTGTGATTATTTGACTCTCAGAGACTTGGCAAGTTCTTCTTTTTTCGAATAAATTTGAGGCACCTCTCAAACAGATCCACAAAAAATAAAGAAAATCAGTAAAGGATTCTTAAAAATATTATTTTACATTTGAAATTACACTTATGGAACACATCTTTACATTTCTCATGAATAGTATCTACTTAATTACATTGGCAAATATACGCTGACTGCTTTTAAAACACCCCGTCTGGCACCATAGTAGTAGTTCGGCGTAAAAACGTCAAGGAAACAAACGCCTTCGTTTTTATTAAGTCCCACTGGTCTGACAGAACTCATCAAGCCAGACGAAACATCGAAATAACGCGCAAGATCTGAACTCTAATTTCATCCAGCCAGGTTTTAACCAACAGAAGAAAAAGAAAAAAAAAAAAAACGATATATTCGCCTCTGTTCACGTTTCGGACGAGGCGGCCTGAAGAGCGAATGCTCCGACGGGCCCTTTGGCTGCTACTGGTCCCTCCATTTCCAGTCCCTAGAAGATCAAATGCAGTTTTCTGATTGTCTGTTTAGAGCCACAACATCTCTCTGTCGGAGGGAAACTTTTTTGTGTTGTTTTGTTGTGCAAAAACAATAAGAAGCGTTATGGATCCACATCTTCTAGATCACTTCGAGAATCGCCCAACATCATGGGGGATTCAGATCCCTGAGAGAAAGAGAGGTGGAAATGGTAAAAGAGTAAATGTAATCCTTTATTAAACACTAGTGTATTTTATCATATAATGTAACTGATGATGGACTGCTGAATTAATGACAGACAGAGCTCTACCTGTCTGAGGCTTCTGTCGGAGTTCTCATTGGCTGGGCTGCCATCTGATCCATTACTGCTGCCGGACTGCTCCTTCTCGTTCAGTAAAGCTGTGGCATAAGCTAGAGTGTCCTAAACACAAAAACCAGCATTCACTAAACTTCACTCAGCAGTTCACATGCCCTCCTAATGGCTCATAAAATGGGTGGCTAGCTCTAGGTAAATCATTTATTTAAAGATGTACATTTTAAGACAAAGCTTAAAATCATTGTAATTAGCAGAAATGTAACTTTGTATTTAGCTGAAACTTTGAAATTCGCTTAAATTTGCATTGCAGTGTTTTTTTTTTTTATCTCAAAGGAAAGCAAAACATGAAGGATATACAAAAGTGAGGGAAAGGGAAAGAAAGAAAGAAAGAAAGAGAGAAATAGGACTTTTTACTCCCAAGATTTTCACAAATTATTTTTTGGATTCAAAATGAAGTTTTCCCTAAAAGTGTTGTTAACTAAAACTACTGGTGTTTAGTAAGTGAAATTAAGATGAAATATAGTAAAATATAAATATCAGATGAAAAACTTAAAGTGTAAATGTGCCCAATGGAGTCCCAGCATTTCAAACATATTACATGACATCAAAACAGAAGAAAAATGTTTCACAAAAGTTTTCAACTTTAAATTGTAAAGTTGAAATTTCAAGTTTGACAAATACATAATCACTTTATTCTGGTTATGTATAATGTAAAGAATTGTGAGAGCAGTACCTGTGCTGAGATGGTGCGCTGGAAGGTTTTAGCCGTGGACGTCTCGTTCGATACATTGCTCTGAGGTGTCCAGTAGTGCTCAGACATCTGAAAGAGGAGAGAAGGGGAATTCAACAATGGATGCTATTTCACAATAAAGAAGTACTGGTGTGTGTGTGTGTGTGTGTGTGTGTATCTGTGGTCTCTTGCCTTCTTCTGGAGCCACTGCACTGCCCAACTCCAATGTCCTGAGAGCTCTTTAAAATAGTCCTTTGCTGGAGAACATCTAACAGAAACACATTGTTTACATTTAACATCACTTCTGCCAGAAACACGGATATTGGAAGCAGAAAATATTAGACATTATTTATTCCGATTCAAATAATAATGTACTAAACAGTACTAAAGTTACCAATCTTTTCTACTGTATATTAAAATGTTTTTTATACATGCGATTTCGCTTCAAGTGGAATTATTGTTTAAACATAAGAAAAATAGTAGACATTTAATATATCAGGCATGTAATTTACAGGCAGGTACTGGCTTATCATAACAACAATAGGGATGCACAAATATTAAAATTCTGGCCGTTACTGGTAATTATTTTTTCATTATGCCCAATAACTGGTAAATGCCTGACATTAAAATTCAATACTATTTTTTCTAAATGAAGGAAAAGTAATCTACTTAAAACTAGTGCTGTCAAACGATTAATCGCGATTAATCGCATCCAAAATAAAAGTTTTTGTTTACATAATATGTGTATTTATTATGTATATATATTCAAACACATGCATGTATATATTTAAGAAAAATGTGTTATGTATATATGTTCAATATATTTATATATAAGAATATAAATATATACATGTAAATATTTTCAAAATATTTACTGTGTGTTTGTATTTATATATACACAATAAATATACACAGTACACACACATATATTATGTAAACAAAATCCTTTATTTTGGATGCGATTAATCGTTTGACAGCACTACTTAAAACTAAAAGGAACTGCTAGAAAGGCAAGTGAATTCGACATCACAATCACAATTATGAAGCATGAAAAATCAACACTTATTTTGAGATTTGCTATAGATTACATTTAATAGTGTTATTAATTTAACGCTTTTAAAATGTTAAACATTAAAAAAGTGAGTGTTTGATGACAGCAAAGGAAAATGTAAAAATAGAGGAAATTATCATGAACATTTTAAATATCCAAATATCAACAGATACGAGTTAACATATTAAAAAATATTGGCTGATAACCAAAATGGCTCTATTATATCATATATCCCTAAAACTCAATACTATTATATACAATTACATTCATCTATGTTAATACCCATATTGAGTGAGTATTCCCAACTTGATCCCAGTGCTCTACACTCACTTCTGTGCCAGCGTGACCAGGAACTTCACACACTGATAGCAGCGACTGCTGTCCACATTGTTGCTCTGATGCATCAAAGCTGTGAAAGAACGAGAATCACATATTATCACAAATGAACTGAATCTTACAAACACTCACACTGATAGAGCCTTTTAATTATACAGTTCTTACCCAAAAGGCCCTTTTCAGATTCAAATGCATATTTGAGCCTCTGAGACTGCAGAGGGTCCTCTATCATCTGACAGGTCAAAGGAAGAGTGGCGTTACATGATTATAAACTATAACAATAAACTGTTTTCAAGACAGCACATGGCCATCACTCACCAGGATCTCTAGGAGCATCTGAAAAACGTTCTTCAGTTCGTGAGGAGGAGCCGTTTCCAGAGGGCTCTACAAGTCACATGAACATGTCATAAGAAAGATTGTTGTAAGTTTATTTTTACACAAACACAGGCAGGGATCAGCTCAACAACTATTTTTCTGCTGAGATTACTTTGGGTTGTATATTTGTATGTTTGTATATGACATTTTTTCACTTTACACAATATACATACACACTATATATTTTCCTATAAATAAGTGTACAATAAAATCATAAATCAATAATTATAAATAAATAACATTTAAATGATTAATTATTAAAAACAAAGTATTAATGCATTTTATTTATTTTTATTAGAATTTAAAATGTCAGGGTACCAACCTTGAGTAGGTGTAGGACTCCCAGTGAGAAAGGTTCATTACAGAATGAGCAATATGTGATCATCTCTATGAGAAACGACAATGGGCCGGACAATTCACGCATGGCAAACATCACCTGAAAGACATGTGACTCAGTCAGTAGTGTGCAAAACAGACAGACAGAGACAGCAGAGAGAGAATAAGAGGCAGCATTACCTCCATGAGATACGCCTGCCCTTCCGCTTTGAAGAGCAGCGTGTTGATGTCTGGATGTAGAGGCAGGAGGGGTGAAGATGGAGCCACCAGTCCTGAGGAAGCGTGCTTGAACACTCCTTGAGCTGAACACAGGACAACAGTATTCACATCTCACCATTACTTCACTCACACAGAGACCCATTAATATCTAAACATACAGAAGACTGCACTAATAAATGAATGCTTTATTCAACTTTGTTGATTATATTTAAACCAACATGTAAACTACCATTCAAATATTTGGGGTCAGTAAGATTTTTTTAAATCACTAAGGCTGCATTTATTTGATCAATAAATACAGTAGAAACAATAATGTGAAATATTATTCGAATTTAAAATAACATGCAGACTCAGTCAGTAGTGTGCAAAACAGACAGACAGAGACAGCAGAGAGAGAATAAGAGGCAGCATTACCTCCATGAGATACGCCTGCCCTTCCGCTTTGAAGAGCAGCGTGTTGATGTCTGGATGTAGAGGCAGGAGGGGTGAAGATGGAGCCACCAGTCCTGAGGAAGCGTGCTTGAACACTCCTTGAGCTGAACACAGGACAACAGTATTCACATCTCACCATTACTTCACTCACACAGAGACCCATTAATATCTAAACATACAGAAGACTGCACTAATAAATGAATGCTTTATTCAACTTTGTTGATTATATTTAAACCAACATGTAAACTACCATTCAAATATTTGGGGTCAGTAAGATTTTTTAAAATCACTAAGGCTGCATTTATTTGATCAATAAATACAGTAGAAACAATAATGTGAAATATTATTAGAATTTAAAATAACATGCATCTTTTGTGTCACATGATCCTTCAGAAATCATTCTAATATGCTGATTTGCTGCTCAAGAAACAATCCTGCTTATTATCAATACTGAAAACAAATGTGCTGCTTAATATTTTTGTTGAAATCGTGATACATTTTTATTTCAGTATTCTTTTATGAATATAAAGTTCAAAAGAGCAGCATTTGTTTGAAAGATAAATCTTTTGTAACATTCTAAATGTTTTACTGTCACTTTTGATCAAATTAATACATCCTTTCTGAATAAAAGTATTCATTTCTTTCACCAAAAAAACCCCCATATCAATTATAAAATGTATTAAAAAGTATTATCTTTTTTCCTCATTGTTGTCATTGTTCTGTGAAAAAGCAAAAAAACTAAAACATGTAAAAAAAAAAAACAACAAAAAAAATATTTTCTTTATAGTACACATTAGTATTGAATTTTTTTTGCAAACTATAATTTCCATTTTTTTGTTTACTTTTACGTCATTACATTTTTATGCCCTCATAATAGTTTTCATTAATGATAATAACTTTGGTGTGTGTTCCGAAATCGTGTGTTCTTACCCTCCATCCTCTGAGACGTGAGGTCTGTGTGCAGCACGATCAGGGCCAGAGTGTTGAGAAGATGCAGGAACTCTCGAGCCTGTGCCGAATTCCAGCGCCGGTGCTGAAACACAAAACCAGCAGAACATTAAACAGTGTAGGTCAACATGTGCACCTAAAGGGACAGTTAACCCAAAAATTCAAGTTCTGTTATCATTTACACACCCTCATGTTATTCCAAACCTGTATGACTGACTTAGGAAGATATTTTGAAGAATGTTGGTAACAGTCTTGGTTCCCATTGACTTTCATTGTATTTTTGTCCATACAATGGAAATCCAAGGAACGTAAACTATTTGGTTACCAACATCCTTCAAAATATCTTCTATTGTGTTCCACAGACAAACTCATACAGGTTTGGAAGGACATGAGGCTGAGTAAATGGTGACAAAATTTTCATTCTTGGGTGGACTATCTCTTTAAGCAAGCAGTAAACCCCAATATTCAAAAGCCGCAGAACACTGCAGTACCTGGTTGTTTTGCCGGTTGGGTCCCAGAAGGAAGACAAGCATCCGACGATAAGCAGAATGTTTTAGCAGCAGCTGACACGGCCCACAGCCCTAAAACAAATCATCAGTGAATAACTTACATTTGTTCCATAGGTTCCTATGTGTGGCTTCAGAAGACAGAATATCAGTTGTATGGGCCACTTTTATGGTACTTGTTTTTTTTTTTTTGGAGCTTACTATATATTTTCTTAATGGACATCAGTGAGTGACATCATTGTTCTCACCCTGTGAGCAAAGTTACTGAAGAGGCTGAAGTACTGAGAGCAGTTCTTGCAGTTATCCGGGACGTCCTTATCCAATAAAGAGAGCAGCATGTCCAGAAGACAGTCCAACCCAGCGTCCTGGAAGTACAAAGCGCTCTCCAGTGTCTTCTCCAGGATGGTGGCCACCACGACACGGACCTCCCGCACACTGCATTCCAACAGACAGATCCTACAGAGAGAGAGAAAAACATGTCCTTCATGAGGTTCACCCATTAACAATGTTAATTCAGTTGATTTTCAACCAGTTCTTGCATGAACATGTGGTAGGAGATGCTGGATGTTGGCGTATCTGAGCTGGTTGGGGAGGTCTGTGGAAACTTTCCCTACAGAGCCAGTTCTATCCAGGGCGAAAATTTTTATGAAATTACGGCTCCAGGTCTCTACTGATAAGGGAAACTATTTGTTTTGTTGGAAGTGTGTCAGAGCTGGATCATAAAACCATCGGGAACATTCCCTGGCTTCTGCTGAGGTGTTGCATGATAATCGGGACAGCCCTAACATTCGATACGAACCAACCAATCGTGTAGCAGGGCACAACGCCCCCCCTCCCCCCCTTACTCCCAATCCGGAGTACCTCTAGTCATGCTAGATCGTGCTTACATGCTCTACACATTAACATCCCAGTACTGGCCCATATTTCAGGTTGACACAAAGCAGCTGTAGCTGTACCCCACATATGCTATTGATTTTCAGCGATACGATTATGACCACACACTTACACTCACACAAACACAGGTGTTCACGATAGTTGGCTTTGGAGGAACAGGGCACTAGCTAAAACAAAAGTGTCATCTGGGATTTCCATGCATTTTTGTTTAGTTCTCATGGTAGAAACCAGTTGTACAACAGAACTTTTGACATGAGTGCCTCAAAACATATTTGGATAATTATGGACGCTATATTTTGCAAATTTAAGTGTCAGATACTTTTTGGTGTCAATGCATTTACAGAGGTGTGGAAAGAGCTGATCTAATTTTAAATAAGGTAAGAATGCAGCAACTGCAGCCACGGTTGCACTTTTCTTCTCCCTGTTTACAATGCACCGCTCCCATTGATAGAAATATAAAAGCATAAAAAAAAAATTTTCCCTGTCAAAATGATGACATTTCTTTTGAATTATGAAATATTTTAGCCTTTCATGTAAAATGAAGCCTTTAAAGGCCGGGACACACCAAGCCGACTTCAAAGAACTAGCGGCGACAAAAGCCAACGGTGTTGTTACGCAGATATACGAAACGTAAACAAAGCAGTGCTTGCGTACCATTTTGAATATCAGATATGATGATAACTCTTTATTTTAAGTGGCTCATGTTGCTATGAAAATATTCGCATATTGGAATGCTTGGGAAAGATCACGTAACATTAGAACAGCCTTCTGTCTGTGCAGCCTTCATTTACTTACTAGTTTTTATCACTTTCGCTTTAATTCTCGTGCACTGACTCGTTCGCTAAACTGAGCATCCAATCAGAGTTCTCACTCGCGCCGTCGCCGATTCAACATGCTGAATTGGGCAAACTGCCGCCGACGTGATCCCGACGAGAGTCGATGAGTGAAACACACCAAACAAACTAGCCCGAACAGATGCTCACCGACGGCGGCCGACGGCTGACCATTATTTCATGGTAACAATATATATAATGATATAGTTATTTTTTCCTTTAAACAAGGTCTTTATACCTTTTTTTTTGATACCATATAAATTTCATAATTCTTGTCACCAGGGTCAAAATCAAAAAACTAATACTAGCCTAAATTAAAAATGAATAAAATAAAAACTCAAGCTCACTGAAGACAAGACAGTCAGCAATTAAATAAGAATAAGAAACTAATTACAAGCATTAGGACAAAAAAATAACTGCAGTAGAACAAATAAATAAGAAATGCTACATACATTGTATAATCAAATGTATAAAAACACTGCATATTCTTAACTGTGTCAATTAAATATATATTTCTTCTTATTAAAGTTACAAAAGTGATTTAGTCAAGAGCAGTGAGAGATTTTCTCTCTTCTGTTGTTTGATTAATATGAATGACAGACAGCAGGAATATTAGACTGCTGTCACTTTAAGAGCTACCCAGTTAATCGTGTCTACAGGTATATCGCCTGCCCTTAATAGATATAAAGCTGTATAGAGATATATGTGTTTCATGTCTGTGTGCCAATAGTCTGGTTAGTTTTACTATTTACTAGCCAGTGGCGAATTTATTGCCAATGCGTGCATAGAGGGTTGGATGTGATGCTCACTTGATGATCTCCCGCCCTTCAGGTGCCACCAGGTACTGGACCATCCATTGACACGCCTCGCTACTCTTGGACAACAAAACCTCCACGGTAGCGATCCACTCCTCTGTGTCCACCCTGAGAGAGAAGACGTCAGAGTTCCCACACTGATTAAATAAACCGATACAACTGGGAGACTCGTTTAATGAGATATTGACTGAAAAAAGGTCATTTTTATTGTTTTAATTATTAAGATTTTGCTCATATTTTATGTACTTTCACAGTGCATTAAAAATGAAGTTTATTTTAAATGATCAATTCTAATTAATAAATAAATGTTTAAAAAACATAATAATAACAAAATTTAAAAAAATTTAAATACTGAAAAAAATTTTTTTTTTTCAATTAAATATAGTATTTTTTTTCCACCACTAGTTCTTGTCTTTGTAATAGTTTAACAATAATAACACTGTGTGAACAGGCCTCGAGTTTAAGTATTGTAAACAAAAGCATCATCCCACCTGAGTTTCTTTTTGGTACGCAGGTACGTGTGGAAGAGGAACTGGACGGCCAGCTGCAGGCTGGTTTTGGCCATGGCCTGATATGATGGATGCTTTAACTTTGTCTGAAAAACAGTATAAAGCTGAAATTTGAGTACAGGAGATATAGAGCACTTATAAAAGAGGCTGAATGCTCAGAGCTTACCGCGTTGACAGAAGCCAGAGACAGTGTGAAGTTGAAGTAATCACTGTTGTAAACGTCTCTGTTCTTCATGAACTTCAGATTTTCATCTCTCACCATCTACAGATCCAAAAATGTCAATTTTTGTGAACTTTTTGAGAAAGCAACAAAATGTCTGAAACACTATGAATAATATAATTATAGTTACAGTATAGTATGAATGTTGTCAGACCGGGAACATTTCTTCTAGTCACATTAGAATTGCAATGCATGAAAAGGCCTTAAAATCGCTACCTGATAGATCCTAGCAGGCATCTTTTCCACAAACAGACCCTTCTTCTCTCCTTTCTTGACCAAGCGTGTGAGCAGGGTGAGGCGGTCATTGTTGGCCCTGGGTGGCCGTGGGGAGGATTGCGGTGAGATCTCCGGAGATGACGGGGCTGACCTGAGGTGAAGGATTAGGAACATTAATAAGTGTATCCATATTCAAACGTTCATGCAGGAAGTAAAACACTAACTCACAATGAGAGATCCTCTGCCTCCTGTCTCATGATGCTGACTCGACTCTTTTTGGGCAGAACGGGGGAGTTCTGGTCACTGATGCGCTGGTAGAACAGCATATAGGCGTTCCAGTAGCGCCGCCGCACATCCGGGTAGGGGTTAGCTATAGCATGTGAATACAGTGGCAAGATGTTAATATAATATAACCATGAGTGATAATGAAAATGACAATGTGATATTTAATCCATGTAAGACTAAGTTAAGATAAAAATACTGGTGTATTTTACATATTAGTACAAATAAATAAATAAATAAATAAATCACCGGTCAATAACAGTGAAACCAGTTCATGATTACCACAATAAAAAATTATATTCTAACAAAAAAAAGAATTAAAATAAAATAAACATATAAATAGGCCTCAGTTTGAGTTCACGTAAAAGTTAAATTATTATTTTACTGACTTGGTGCTGAAGTAATTTATATGCATTTAAAGAAATATTAATAACTTACATTGGTCATAAACTTTGGGTCTGTACTCTCCTCCAAAACACTCATACTCCAGAGTCTCATCGTTCATGTCAAACTCTTCCACAACATTGTCATTAAACTTATACCAGCGTCCTCGTGAACTACCCCTAAAAGAAAATAAAGCATTGAAAAATGCATATTACAGACATTGCTTAGCTCTGCTTGGTCACCCAAACATTCCTTCATTCCCTCAAAAAATGCACCAGTTTAAAGCACCATCATGCTGCCAAGCATCTGGGACAGTTTAAGGCTCTCAAAAAAACACTCTTGCCAAAAACAGAAGCACGGCCCCCCAGAGACCCATAAATACACATACATACATACACACAGAGCGGGTAAAAGACCTCCCAGAAACATGTTTCAGATATTACATTTGCTGAAGTATGTCCTATATATAGAGTGTGCATTATGGAAATAGACTCTGCAGCAGGGGCGTTTCCTCCGAGGAGGCAAGGGAGGCACTGTCTCCTCGAAAAATTAGATGAGAAAATAATCGATATTAAAAAAATGAAACAACGCAAACATTACTAGTAAATATGACATTAAAAGTATAAAACTAATTTGTTTTTATAAAGAAACCCTGTCCAACAGCGACACCCGCAGGTAAAGTTACAGCGGAGGCTTGCCTCCCTTCAGTCCATAGACTTACAGAGACCCCTTAGCCTGCTGTGACCTTTCTGGGTTGTAATTGAGATGAATGGGGGAACATCACGTGAGAGGAGGCAATGCCTCCATGCCGCTATAATTGGATATGATCAGTTATTATTGGATGTGATTGGTTCATGTGATAAATCCCGCCTCTTGTTTTCGTGTGAGCTCTCAGCCTGAATGAAGAAAATGATGGCGTTATTGACAAAATAAGTAAACAACTCTCCTGCTTAGTTACCACTGCTTTGTGTCATGTCAAAATAAAACTTGAAATGGCCTGAAAACGTGATGACCGTGTGAGTTAGTGAGCATTCAGCGTGATGAAATGAAAGATGTATCTTCATGCCTGTGGCAGTGTTTACAGAGCTTTTATGATGATGACCCGAAAATAAGTTGATTATTAAAAAGAACAGCTGAGCATCAGTTCACTATTAAAAAACGGAGTGTCTATTTCACTAAGTGCAAATAGGCTGCCTTGTTGGTAGAAGCTATTTACACTAACTCCACCCATCAATGTAAGGTTACTACAAAAGACGATTGCTAATTAACAAGTTCAGTGGTGTATAGTAAAGCGCGTGCCTAAGTCCTTTTTGATGCGATCGACCCGGGTTAGATTCCACCCTTAACCAAACTTTTTTTTCTCCATTTTAAAATCTCATATCACATCGGGTAGGTTTAGGGAGGGCATATATTGTCTTAATACGGTGGCATCCATTTAATAATTTGAATTAAAATTATAATTTACACTCAATATGTTATTATTGCATACTGTCTTATAATGTTCTACAATACTAAGGTGCAGAATATTGTTCAAAAATATTGTTCAAATTGTTACTGCCTTTATTATTTTGGAATAAATGTAAAAATGCATAAAAACACTATGAAATGTATACTTATTATTTAAAATATTAAATGAAATAAAAATAATGTTAATAAAATACAAAATATAATTATTTTTGTTCTCTCTTATGTAATGTTTATTTAACCAAGAGAATGCGAAAACATTAAGTGTAACAGGGACATGAATATATATATATACTGTATATAACTGCCTCCTCATTTTAAAACACCACCGCACGCCAGAACTTCATAAATGTATTGTTCAACCACAAGCCTTCTAGAATGATTTAACAGAAGCTTTATGTAACATTTTAATGCATGTCATAATCTCCTACTACTTTTCATACTTTAGTGATTTGTTCCTTAGTAATAAACTCAGAATTATTTCCTTATCGTTTGTGTAGATCAGTGATTCCAAACTTTTGTCAGCCAAACCCCTTTGACCTAAAATGTTTATTTGAAGTACCACCTAAGAAGTTAGGATTTTAATAATTGAACAACATATCAACGTGATTACAGTCCTCTGATGTACTGTAGGTTAACAGTCACATGACATGGAGAAAAACAAAATGTTTAATCTTTTTTATTAATGTTTCATTTTAAAATTATTTAAATCGCGACAACTTGGAATAGTTTTAGCATGTTAATGGATATGACGATGTTAGTGTGTTTGGTCTTGGTGGATTATATCTGCCACACGCTCCTGCTGCCGCCGAGCAAATATGGACTTGCTAATGCCAATAGATATACAAACATGCGTTGTGAACATGTAAGATCTGATGCAGCAAGAATAAAGACACATAAATCCCATAGCAGCTCTAGACAGGTGGAGCTGGGGATGTGGAGGGTTTCAGTGGTTTTTGAAGCAGCAGAGGCCAATCAACTTGTGTCATGCAGTAAATTATGTGATTAGTAGCAGACTGCATGTAAAGGATCTATCAGCCTAGAGTTTCATAACTAAACTAGATACTAGATCAACTCACAAATCCCAGTTTGGAAAATCCTGGTGTAACTTGTAAGGCCTGATAAGAAGAGGTGTGCTAACATCTTCCAAGTCATCAAACTCTCTCCATTAACTTGGGACAGCAAGTAAACACCTAGCAACCACCCTGAAAACCCCACAAACACGTTACCAGACACTCTCTCTTGCCATCTCACCGGCGGTCTTTGATGAATGAGTAATAGTGTCCTGCGTGGGCCTGTCCGCTGTGGACCACCACTCCCACCAGTTCGTAGTTCTCAGAGATGGTGACCTTCTTCCGAGGTGATCCCCCGGATCCAGCCTCACCCCCTCTCCCGTTCTCTCCATGATCTGCACTTGAATCCTGACGGGCCATTCCTGACACCGTGTACGGCTCCATGTTCAGCACCCAGGGGAACTAAAAGTGAACAAGTTATTGAAGTATATGCAAATCAATTATATATTACTATTCAAAAGTTTGAGGTTGGTAAGATCTTATTTTTAAATTGATCAAAAGTAAGATTTTTGGTAAGTTACTAGTTGCAGGCCAACACTACATAACATGTGAACTGAAGCAGAGCTGATGCTGCATATAATCTTACTCTGATCTGCTCATCGTATTTGATGGACCGGCCACTTTCCCAGTCAAAGCCAAATCGCATGAGGTGGATGACCAGCACGCTGGGCAGAGACTTTATACAGGTCCGCTTCACAGTGGTCCGCTGCAACACAGAATGTGTGAGTACAAAGTACAGCTGTATTTCCCTTCAGTTCTTTATGAATGAAAACACATCAGACTGTACCTTCTCTTTACATTTCTCGCAGTAATAAGCATTGGTGCCATCCAGGACTTCTCCTCTGACAAATTGATCGAGAGAAATCTCCAGACTCTGACAGGACGTCACCCCCAAGTTCAGAGCCATGAACGTCTCCTCACGCTCATACCTACAGAGCAAACCCAAAAACAAACTCAAGTTAATGTTATAAAGAAGTCATGGGTTTGGAATGATATTTGAGTGAGTAAACAATGAGCTGATCCTTTAAGGCTTACCTGTGTGGGCAGTCTTTGCATATCTTCTGATCAGAGAAAATGCCCTGGAATGTGTTCTTGAAGATCTGCTCTCGACCGATTTTCTATAAGGGTGAAAATGAGGAAAACTGAAAACACACTTCAGACTGTGTATGAGCACTTGAGTATGCAAGGGACTTCAGGTGAGCTGTACCTTTAGATGTTCATCAAGCTGATCCACCAGACTGGTGAAGAACTCATAAGCGTCCTGCTGTTCTCGCACGTATAATTCTTTATTCCACATCTTAAATATCTGCATCAAGACCAACCAAGTGATGACAACAATGAAGTACTTAATTTTCATTAATTGAAATTAAAAATAAACATTAACTTACATAAAATAAAATTTCTAATATAAAAAAACCCTAAAATATAATATAAAAAAGCCAATATTTCTCATTTGTTTAAATTGTACTAAAATAGTACTAAAGTAATTAAAATGTAATAAAAACTGTATAGACATATATATTAAAAAAATACAACAATAGAGTGCATTTTTAATATCCATGACTTTCATTTAAGCATCTAAATATGATATCTTTTTCCTTAAATTCTCTGGAGTATCTAATAAACTACAGATAAAATAAATGTTGTTTTTAAACAGGTTTCTCACCTGACATCAGAAATTTCTCTTTAGTATTTTATACATTTGGTAGCATTTATTCCAAATTCAGTACACTGTGTGCATATCAATAGTTCCAGACATATCATAACAGTGGATCTCACCTTCCAGAAGTTTTCAGGTATGTAGTACTGTAGTTTGCTCTCCATCAGGTGACCAAACAGAGACTGTACCTGACAGAACACACTCTCCTCTGGGTTTTCAATGTCATCTTCAATTGACAAGACAGCCTACAACACACACAAGGTTAAAATTGTTACCGAAACCTATTATAAAGACAAACACCATAAAAACTGTATTAAATACAAAATATTAGTATAATAGTCTAATGTCAGGAATATACTACCACATAACATTTTTTTATTATTATCAATGTTGAAAACTGTTTACTGCTTAATATTTTTGTGGAAACTATTACTTGTTTTTACTATTACAGGATTTTTTGATGATTGCAATGAACAGAACTGATTTAAAACCAACAATACTTTGACACATAAATGTCTTTTCTGTCCTTCTGATCAATTTAACATGTCCTTGCTGAATAAAAGTGTTATCTAAAAGAAAATCTAAAACTCTTAAATGGCAGCGTACATAAAAATATTATATATATAAATGAGACCTTGTAAAAGTTCAGAAACTATAAATGTAGGGAACAATAGGATAAAAAACTAAATAGAATTGCAATGAAAATAACTTCAGTTTCAATATTTTCAACACTGCTGTGACTTCTGACTATCAGTAAATATTGGATTCATTCACTGCAGTATTGTTGAGTATGATGTTTTTAACATGCGTCATCATAGGTAGAAGGAAAAATTTGTGGTGCTAATGTTTTTAAGAAAATATACTAAAACTAATCAAAAAACAAAAAATATTATAAAGAAGTCATGGGTTTGGAATGATATTTGAGTGAGTAAACAATGAGCTGATCCTTTAAGGCTTACCTGTGTGGGCAGTCTTTGCATATCTTCTGATCAGAGAAAATGCCCTGGAATGTGTTCTTGAAGATCTGCTCTCGACCGATTTTCTATAAGGGTGAAAATGAGGAAAACTGAAAACACACTTCAGACTGTGTATGAGCACTTGAGTATGCAAGGGACTTCAGGTGAGCTGTACCTTTAGATGTTCATCAAGCTGATCCACCAGACTGGTGAAGAACTCATAAGCGTCCTGCTGTTCTCGCACGTATAATTCTTTATTCCACATCTTAAATATCTGCATCAAGACCAACCAAGTGATGACAACAATGAAGTACTTAATTTTCATTAATTGAAATTAAAAATAAACATTAACTTACATAAAATAAAATTTCTAATATAAAAAAACCCTAAAATATAATATAAAAAAGCCAATATTTCTCATTTGTTTAAATTGTACTAAAATAGTACTAAAGTAATTAAAATGTAATAAAAACTGTATAGACATATATATTAAAAAAATACAACAATAGAGTGCATTTTTAATATCCATGACTTTCATTTAAGCATCTAAATATGATATCTTTTTCCTTAAATTCTCTGGAGTATCTAATAAACTACAGATAAAATAAATGTTGTTTTTAAACAGGTTTCTCACCTGACATCAGAAATTTCTCTTTAGTATTTTATACATTTGGTAGCATTTATTCCAAATTCAGTACACTGTGTGCATATCAATAGTTCCAGACATATCATAACAGTGGATCTCACCTTCCAGAAGTTTTCAGGTATGTAGTACTGTAGTTTGCTCTCCATCAGGTGACCAAACAGAGACTGTACCTGACAGAACACACTCTCCTCTGGGTTTTCAATGTCATCTTCAATTGACAAGACAGCCTACAACACACACAAGGTTAAAATTGTTACCGAAACCTATTATAAAGACAAACACCATAAAAACTGTATTAAATACAAAATATTAGTATAATAGTCTAATGTCAGGAATATACTACCACATAACATTTTTTTATTATTATCAATGTTGAAAACTGTTTACTGCTTAATATTTTTGTGGAAACTATTACTTGTTTTTACTATTACAGGATTTTTTGATGATTGCAATGAACAGAACTGATTTAAAACCAACAATACTTTGACACATAAATGTCTTTTCTGTCCTTCTGATCAATTTAACATGTCCTTGCTGAATAAAAGTGTTATCTAAAAGAAAATCTAAAACTCTTAAATGGCAGCGTACATAAAAATATTATATATATAAATGAGACCTTGTAAAAGTTCAGAAACTATAAATGTAGGGAACAATAGGATAAAAAACTAAATAGAATTGCAATGAAAATAACTTCAGTTTCAATATTTTCAACACTGCTCTGACTTCTGACTATCAGTAAATATTGGATTCATTCACTGCAGTATTGTTGAGTATGATGTTTTTAATCGTGTAACATGCGTCATCATAGGTAGAAGGAAAAATTTGTGGTGCTAATGTTTTTAAGAAAATATACTAAAACTAATCAAAAACTAAACAAAAAATACATTTTCAAATATGAAAAAAAAAAGACATTTTAAAACAAACTAGGTCCTACAAACACACAAAAATAATCCTTGCTTTAGCAATACAGCAATTAACACTTCCTTGATCCAGTTCACTCCTATTACTTCAAGGTTAGGGCGTCACCTAGTGGTGAGAAAGTGTGCCAAACTTACTTTAGTGATAAAAGATCAACGTTTACCTCAGGCAAACCAGGCTGCATGTAGAGCTGCTGGAACACTGCATTCATATAGCAGGTCGCACCTCCGTTCTTCAGTCCCACAAACCCAGACACAGAGCGACTGTCTACAGGAGGAAGATACTGACAACACACACACACACGGACACAATGACACAGGAATGAACGCAAGTACATCTGTTAGAAGTTCTTATCGCAGAATTCATTTCCTCCAAGAGATTTAAGGACTGGTGAAGGGACTCACGTCGAACTCTTTGGTGAGAGAAGGGTCAGACTGGTGGTGCATGGACAGCAGTTCTTTAGTGATGAGCTGCAGGCTAGTAAGGGAGCTGTCGGCCAACATGACCAGCACCTCGTACGCCGCCAGACGACTGCTGACCGTACTGCACCTGAGACACAGACATAATTACTAAAGGTAGCTGAAGCAACTTGCTTACCAATGTGTTCAAATGTATGCATTTCCTCTTACTTTGGGTGAAAGTCGTGGATAGATGCTGTAGTGCTAGATGAGCTGTCATTGCTCAGGATGATACGAGACGCTCTGAACAGGAAGTCGTCCAACAGCTGCTGGATCAAAGAAGGACCTGCAGCACATTAACAAGAAGATTCGTTTACTTCACATCCGGATCTCCATATGTATTTCATGCTGTCATATTTATCTGAAAAGTGGCTGACCGAACTGCTCTTTCTCACTGCCGCAGAGGGACAGCAGGGTTTTAATGAGGCGCAGGTGTGCGGCCAGCAGGATGTTGTCGGCCTCGCTGGTCTCCAGCTCGTTGGTCCAAGTGGGCTCGAAATTATCAAGCCAGCTGATCTCGTCCTCCAGCATGACCGCAGGACCGATCTGAAGCTGCTCCATTTCTGATGCTGAGAACATGAAACATATGAGGCTGAGCTTTTCTAAGGGAATCCAAAAATTGTTTTTAAATTGCACAGGACTAAAGCAAGTGACACTCTCATTTTTAACTTGCATAGAGGGAACAAAACAGGATTGAACAAATGGCTCAGTGAATTGTTCAGTTGACGTTAATAAAATATTGATAATCTCATATAAATATTGATCATCAAGCTTTTTATTTAATGCTTCATTCATTTCGCAATATTTGCAACCCTGTTACCATAATCAAGAATATAGATTAAAAATGATGTCACTGGTCTTTTCTAGCAATAAACAAAAACTCAGTTTTTTTTTTTTTTTTACAGAAAATGTAAATAAATGTGTATATATACACAGTGTTAAACATGCCTCTTTCCAACCTTTTTGGAATGTGTTGCAGCCGTCAAAAACAAAATTTGTTCATATTTACAAAATACATTTACGTTGGTCAGTGAAAACTTTGGAAATCTTTTCTTTGTACTTTTGTCAATTAAATAAAAGTTAAAGATAATGAACAAATCACAGATTCTTGATTTTATTGCATTTTACAAAACGTCCCAACTTCTCTGGAATCGGGGTTGTACATATAAAATCATACTGTAGGCAGAATGAGTAACAGGGCTGGAAATTTTGCCTTAAACCAAGCAATCATTCAATAGGGACTATCAAGTCTGGGACTAAGTGTTGATTAAGTAGTTGAAGAAGGAAAAAAAAAACGGAACGGTCGAGAGGATATATATATATATATATATATATTGTCTGCATTGTGTAACAATAACGTGGGTAACAGGGTTTAAAACTGATAATTGCAGTCAACACCAGAAAACTGAAGGAGACTCATTGTTTTTTCTGCCATGCTGTAGAAAGAATGTTGGTAACACTTTCTATGAAGCCCATATTTATAATACATTATAAGGGTATTCTTAAGGCATTATAATGAATGCATAATGCATTTTAAAAGACCTTATAATATGTTATATCATCTTATAAATAATCATAACAACAATTATAATACGTTATAATGCTTACGCATTTGTGGTTATAACGTTTAAGATTATGATTATTTATAACACACAATGAACACCATATTAAATCTACTTTTACATTTATAATGGGCTATATATCTTGACATTGTTTATTGCAGATCTGCACAGTATCTTACTACATCTTGTAAGAGGTTAGGTGTGGAGTGTTCTTTGAGTGTTCCCTGTGAGGCTAATATTAATTTTGATATGAGCTACTTAATAATTTCAACTGAAAAAAGTGCAATGTTTATATGTTAGGTTACATTTTAGTTTGATGGTCCCTTTAGTCTATTGACTATAAGCAACTTTGCAACTACATGTCAACTAACTCTCATTAGAGTATTAGTAGACTTAGGTTAAGGTTAGGGTAGGTAGAATGTTGACTTGCAAAGTTACTTATAGTCAGTTTGTCTGTTGGGGAACCATCAAAATAAAGTGTTAGCATACATTTACAGGAGCAGACATACTACTAATACTCCAATGACTGCTAGTTGACATGTAGTTGTAGAGTTACTTATCAAAAGCTGTCTAAAGGGTACCATCAAAATAATCAAACTGATATTACAGTAAAAATATTTCATAGCAAATGTGTCATATTACACATTCATCTGATCTGATATCTGATCTTATGGCCGTTTGAGAAAAAATATATATTATTATTATTATTATTACTATACTTATAAGTCGTCTTTGATTGCTTTAAGTAAAGTAGCATAAGAAAGATGACGATATGAGACTTATAATACTTTATAACTATGAGAAATATAATCCGTTGTCACTTAAGTGGATGTAACATGTTCACTGTGTGTTATAAATCATCATACTCTTAAAAGCTATAACCACAAATAAGTAAATATTATAATACATTAAAACTGTTCTTATGAATATTCATAAGATGATATAACATATTATACGTTTTTTATAATGCATTATGCATTCATTATAAGGGTATTCATAAGGCATTATAATGTATTATAAATATGGGCTTCATAGAAAGTGTTATTAGAATGTTTTAAAGAATGTTATTTTTTTTGATAGGGAAAATTAGCAGGGCTGCAAGTAAACAAAAATGTGGGACAAAATGTTTTCGCAATTAAATGAGTTAATAATTACAATTAACTTTTACTACAATGAACTACAATTATTTTAATCAAAATTATGGGATAACTGTGAATAATCAGAAAATACATATTGGGAGACCAAAGCATCTTATTCATGAAAACTGAAATTTATATGATAAACTTAATTTGAAAATAAGGCAGAACACTCACTGGTCAGGTCATCCAGTAGTTGGCAACGCAGGTCAAAATACTCGGTGCATTGTGAAAGCAACCTAAAAACACGATCATTAGTTTAGCTTAGTAGATATTCAGAATTTCACAGCATTTCTAAAGTCTACACAGTGTTTTAATTACTTTGTGGGCCTGTTACAGTAAGAATTTCATTTAGGTCTCATTTGCCATTATACACTTAGAGAAATAAGATTTCTAAATGGTCTCCTAAGAGACTAAAAAAATCATGTGTTTAGTGTGTTGGACCTTTGGTTAACACCCCTCATGATGCTGGTAGGGGACCAGAGAGGAAGTTGGGCTGTCAGAACCACCTTCAGCAGGAAGAGGTTGGGCTTCTGGAGGTCAGGGTACGCAGAGGTGTCCGACTGACTGAGAGTGTACAGCTGATCACACGCCACGCGTCGGATCTGTGAACAGAGGAGCTTAGATGTTTGGACTCAGAAGTCATAGTTAAAAGAGACAAGTTTAATTTTGTCAGGACTACAACACATACACTGACCTCTCCACTGGGCGATCCCAGCAGAATATCGATGATGAAATCATTCACAGAAAGCAGAGTGTAAAATGAAGCTTGAAAAAGAACAGGAAACAAAGCAATTGCGTAAGTGTTTTGATTTTTGCTGACTTTATTTCACATCCTAGTGTTTTCTTCTTACATAGCTGTTGGCAGCGTAGCTGAAGGCATGTGACGAGTAAAGAGAGCGCTTCTCGTGCAATAATAGTGTCTTTGATGGACACAAACAGCTGTTTGACGCATATCCCAGCCTGCAACGTGGTGACCTCTCCCTCACTGCCCGAGCTGCAGTTACTTCCTACAACACACACAAGCACAAACATTTAGAGAGATGCATAAGTCCGACTAGAAGACAGACTATAGTATCGTTTAGAGTCTTACCTGTGCTGCTGACCCTGCTGCGGACACCCAGAGGAAGAAGCGAGTTGGTCGTCTCTCTGATTGGCTGGCTGCTGCCAACAAGGTCCAATCGGCCTGCAGCTGCCGCCCAGGTGAGCCTCATGAAACACGCCACTGTGGATGTGAAGTCTCCCACCTCCATTGTCTGAAATGACAAACCAGTGAAGTCAGATAGGGTTGGAAATAAGTCATTTAGTAAAGCATCGGATGCTCTCTCGCACCTGTATAGCGACACGGGCGGCTGGCATGATTTCTTCCACTCTGATGGAGGACCTGTCAGACATGGACACCTGCCTGTAGGAGGACTTCTCAGGAGTTCCACAGACGGAGAGCTGTCGGCCGCTCTGCCGCCCGGCGTTACGGAACGGTCGAGAGGACAGCGTGTCCAGACCTTCCTTGCTCAACTCCTCATCGAGCATACTAGGCATAGCCTGCCCTACCAGCAGGAACCTGCAGGGGGAGACAAAAAGCAAGTCTTTTAACAAAGGCTAAAGTCAAAAGTAGGGCTGGCCGATATGACCTAAAATAAAAACCTCGTTTAACTGAACAATTTACCTCGATTGCGATTATTGAACAATTAGGGATGTAATGATTCACTCAACCCACGATTCGATTTTCTCACAATTTTTTTTAACTAAATGAGACCTGAAGACATTATACAGTAAATTAAAATGTGTCCTTTTATTAGGCTATTGCTGCACGTTTCTTTGTGAAACTGAAATATAACAAAACTAAACTGAAATTTAAAACAAACCCCAAATCAAACAAGTTACACAAAAAAAAGAAATCTCTTCATATAAACAAACTAAGTAGTGTTTTCTTCTTACATAGCTGTTGGCAGCGTAGCTGAAGGCATGTGACGAGTAAAGAGAGCGCTTCTCGTGCAATAATAGTGTCTTTGATGGACACAAACAGCTGTTTGACGCATATCCCAGCCTGCAACGTGGTGACCTCTCCCTCACTGCCCGAGCTGCAGTTACTTCCTGCAACACACACAAGCACAAACATTTAGAGAGATGCATAAGTCCGACTAGAAGACAGACTATAGTATCGTTTAGAGTCTTACCTGTGCTGCTGACCCTGCTGCGGACACCCAGAGGAAGAAGCGAGTTGGTCGTCTCTCTGATTGGCTGGCTGCTGCCAACAAGGTCCAATCGGCCTGCAGCTGCTGCCCAGGTGAGCCTCATGAAACACGCCACTGTGGATGTGAAGTCTCCCACCTCCATTGTCTGAAATGACAAACCAGTGAAGTCAGATAAGGTTGGAAATAAGTCATTTAGTAAAGCATCGGATGCTCTCTCGCACCTGTATAGCGACACGGGCGGCTGGCATGATTTCTTCCACTCTGATGGAGGACCTGTCAGACATGGACACCTGCCTGTAGGAGGACTTCTCAGGAGTTCCACAGACGGAGAGCTGTCGGCCGCTCTGCCGCCCAGCGTTACGGAACGGTCGAGAGGACAGCGTGTCCAGACCTTCCTTGCTCAACTCCTCATCAAGCATACTAGGCATAGCCTGCCCTACCAGCAGGAACCTGCAGGGGGAGACAAAAAGCAAGTCTTTTAACAAAGGCTAAAGTCAAAAGTAGGGCTGGCCGATATGACCTAAAATAAAAACCTCGTTTAACTGAACAATTTACCTCGATTGCGATTATTGAACAATTAGGGATGTAATGATTCACTCAACCCACGATTCGATTTTCTCACAATTTTTTTTAACTAAATGAGACCTGAAGACATTATACAGTAAATTAAAATGTGTCCTTTTATTAGGCTATTGCTGCACGTTTCTTTGTGAAACTGAAATATAACAAAACTAAACTGAAATTTAAAACAAACCCCAAATCAAACAAGTTACACAAAAAAAAGAAATCTCTTCATATAAACAAACTAAGGCTTTGTCTGTGCTCTTTCCATTTAAAATGAGAGACAACCACTGCATTTTAATCATGATCCAAACAAAGATGCTGCATACATTCAACATGAGCAGTTTTTAGTCTAAATTAGACTGTATAATTTTGAAATTTGAAGCAAAAACAGAATGGTCTGACTTCAGTTTTGTGAAACTATACTACATAAAACCTATCTGAACTAGGGCGGTGTATCACCAGCAAAGTCACTGGTTTCACGATTTAATTCGATTACGATTATCATGTCAACGATTCGATTCAATTCGATATCACGATGCATCACAATGCATCATGATTACATCAAATTTATTTTGTGCATTTTTATTAAATTATATAAGCAGGCTACTTTTTAAAATAATTATCTTGATCTATTTCCACATATCAGATGTTTTGTTCTGTTCTGAAAACATAACTGACTGTGTTTACATCAATTTCGTATCATAAAAGTAGATGCCAGTGCATTTAACCACAGCCGTGAGCTTCGGGACAAACAAACACAAAGCGCACGTGAAAGTCTGTCAGTACGTGAGTTTCGTGCATCTAATATGTACTGCATTCCAAACGGCATAAATGAAAGCATATCTAAAGTAAAAGACTAAAATAACAGCGAGTGGAAGCACTGTCAAGCAATGCGCACGTGTCTCACAGTGCATATTCTGTGCAGTGAAGCCCGTCGCGTTTGTCTCTAGCGCACACATGTGCCACATGCGGGAAAAAGCCAAGCTCCAATTTAAAAATAGAGAGTGCATTTTTAATACTCGCGTGACAAGCGCATATGCGAATGACGTCATAGGCTATAATCGATTATGGTCTATTACTGCATCGATGCAGACGATTAATTTCGACACCCCTATTATATTCTGAAACATTATTAATACATTTCATATGAACCATGGAAATATGGCAAAAAGTCTATGGGATGTTATCAAAGACACGTTTTTTTATTTTCATCCGGGTCAATAAATGACCCAAACAGAGCACAATGGTCTTTAAAGCAATATTATTATGCTGCTCATCGCTTGGAGTGCTGAATCCAGTGAGAAAGAGTGAACAAAACAGAGAAATAGGGAAAGAGAAGACAGCCAGACTGGTAAATGAGACTGCACCTGGCCAGCTGCAGGCAGATGGAATAGACTCCTTGTCTGGTCTCGTAGTCCACCTCAGAGGGGATGGAGTCTCTCTGCATGACGTTAACCACCAGACTGAGACAGAGAGAGACAGAGAATGCACCGCTGAGATAATTAATGATTAAAATACACAGCCACATTACGACTGCAGAATTATCAACATGAGGAGCAGTGTAAAAGCGGGTAGAAAGCAGACGGCTACCTGAGACCTCCCGCTTTGAATGGAAGAGAGAGAGAGAGAGAGAGAGAGAGAGAGAGAGAGCGTTATTTACTAGAGGAGGACACTGTCCTCTGCGTGCACCCTACTAAAAACAAAAACACTGTCCACATGACTGTTACAGTGCTCAAAATGCTGAGTCATTCAGCCCGTGTTCAACTCTGACTCTGTTTCACCTAAAGTACCAGTCACACCTACTTATTCTTTACTATTACAGTTTCCAAACAGTAAACTCATCAAAACTATTAAACAATTCCCATAATTCAATTCATGTTATGTATTGACCACAAATGTTACACAGATGAAAAGTACTCTTTTTTTATGCACTTTTCTCCAAGTTAAAGAGTGGCTTTCAGGTACCTGGTGACTCCAGACGCTGGACTCTTTTGGCACAAAGTTATCAAGGGCGTCCTGCACCTCTGGGTCGGTCGGGATGAGCAGCAACAACTTCCTGACACGCAAAGTTATTCTGGACAGGAACAAGAAGGCCACACAGTTATTACAAGTCAAATGAAATCACAAAATGCACACAACGTATGCCCGCAAAGGGAAAGGAAAAATCAACCATTAAATGAATGAAGAAAAAACAGGTTTACTAAACCATACAGGTGAGTAAATAATGACAATTAAAATTTTGGGGTGACTATCCTTTTAAGTAATTGCATAACTTGCATGGGTTGTGGGTTGTTTACCTGGGTTCCTCCAAATTGGCGAGCTGATAAAGCATCTCAAAGACATTACACACCAACGCCATGACCACACCAGGAAGAGATTTCTCCTGCAATCACACACATGAGGATAATAAAGTAGGTTGATGAGGTTAATAACTTAGATTTGAGATAAACTACGGTTCAGATCGGGTCTGTAAGGTTTTTTCTTTTTTCTTGATGAAAAGTTACTCTTTTGTAACATAAAAACTGCTGTACTATTTCAAATAAATGCTGTTCTTTTGAACTTTCTACTCATCAAAGAATCAAAAAAATGTTAAGCAGCACAACTGTTTTCAACAAAAAGTGTTTCTTGAGCACCAAATTAGCATATTAGAATGATTTCTGAAGGATCATATTACAATTTCATTTATGAATTTTTTTTAATATTACAGTTTTTCATGTATTTATAATCAAATAAATGCAGCTTTGGTGAGCATAAGAGACGAAAACTAAAAATCTTACAGACCCTAAACTTTTGAAGGGTAGTGTGGGTATTCTGTATAAAAGTGTGTAATTGCACAATTAGTGTATACTCGATCCAATAAGCATTAGCAAATTGTGTGAGTTGTCAGTCCAGTGAGTGAATGTACCTGCTCCATAGCATACGCGGAGTTAAAGACCCCGCTGCTGCTGGAGCTGGCCGAGGCAGAGCTGTCCGCTGAACTGCCTGATGGAGTGCCTGTTCCTGAGCTCTTCACCGTCAGACTCTGCTCATCAGAGAAACCCAGCTGATTCAACAGCTTCTGGTCACGATTCATCGTCAGCTAGAATTTATAAAGAAGACTGTTAGCATGAATCCATAATACAAACAGATATAGGTTAATATGAAGAGCTTGTTTAATATGAACTTTTATAAAAATGCTTAAAATATTATTATTATTATTTTTTTTTAAATGAAACATTTGAAAGTTTTGAAGTTCAGACTTCTGTAGGCAGTTATTTCAAAATGCCTAATTATTGGCCATTTTAGTAACAAATCTTTTAACTAAAACTTAAACCAAAACTGAACCTATTTAAACAAAATTTTTGTTAGTGGAAATAAAAATAAAATAAAATATAAATATTAGATGAAAAACAAACGAATACGTGTACCGTTACACCCCTAATATTTAAAAAAACAAAACCTAATAAAATTACAAAGCTAATTCAGATCAATAAAAACTATAATAGTATAAAAAATACTAAAATAACACTGGTAACAATCAACACAAACAAACTATGTTTATTGTTCTCTCTCTATAACTAGGAAAACTAGTCCTAGTTTCAGTTTTCACTGTCATTATCAATAAATAAAATCAAAACTTAAACTATTAAAAACATTTTTGTTTGATGAACAAAACCTGAAATAAAATGAAATATAAATATTAGATGATAATTAAATGAAAATTAGACATCTTACATTAGCAACTAACTGAAACAAGTTTAACTAGCTGTAATAAAACTAAAATTGAAATAAAAAAACAAGCAAATTAAAACTATTTGGAAATATAAAAAATTACAAAAGCATATGACAGAATTACTAAAAATTTAACAAATGAAAATAAAAACTGAAAACATAAAAATAAAGGCTTATTCAAAATATGAATGAAAACTAAAATAGTACATAACACCAAAATAACACTGGTAACAATAAGCAATAAGAATAAAGAATGCATATTGTTAACTATAATTAGAAATCGGTCTGAGAACCAAGCCTCCACATGCGGTCATAATAGCTGCCACATTCTCACAGAGTGCTGGCCTGTGCTGTAGGAGTGTTTGGCACCTGTGCACCGCTCAGATATGACTGCGACCAATCGCAGTTAGTGTTTGACTCACCATGCTGTCATTGGCAAATATCTGCACATTGTCCACCGGACAGCTGAGCTGCTCGGCTATCTTCCATCTGATGCTGCCTATGGTCTCGTTGCTGTGGGCCTGCACACATTCACATCAACACAAACACATAAGGGCCGTTTCGATTCGCCCATTCAAATCAGGCACAGCAAATTCCAGTCAGTCAGTTGAGTCACGATCACCCAATAGACTGTTGTTTATTAATATCACATTTAGTTTCTCACGCCGAACCTCCACCTGCCATTTATCAATGCTCTTCTATTCTCCAAACAGGGAGAATGTATATCAAGTCTTCCATTTATATCAACCCTGTTTACAGTCTGTCATAAGTGTGTGCATTTGAGTCATGAGCGCCAGAACTGCAAGAAGTGTGCGTGTGTGCATGTGATGTTACCTCCAAGGTGAATGTGTCTTTGGTAGATTCGTAAGTGATGTGAAGTGCAACAGGATGGCCGTGGAAAGACGCTCCATGAGGTAGAATAGTTCGAGGAACAGAATACAGGTCCTGAAACAGATCCAGCAACAGTCAATACCATGTGACCTGGAAACTCATTTTCCATTTCAAACCAGTGAGAAGATATAATAATTTAAATGCTGGCTGTCATAACATTTTTTTATTAAATCAGCTCTACAGATTCAAATATTTTTAGATATTAAAAAGTATAAATTTATAATATAAAAAAAATTATTATACATTTTTACTTTCTATTCATCAAAGAATACTGAACAAAAAGTATCACAGTTTACACAAAAATAATAATCAGCACAACTGTTTTCAACATTGATTATAATAATAAATGTTTCTTGAGCAGCAAATCAGCATATTAGAATGATTTCTGAAGAGTCATGTGACACTGAAGACTGAAGTAATGTTGCTGAAAATTCAGCTTTGCATCACATAAATAAATTACATTTTAAAATATATAAAAATTAGTGCTGTCAAACGATTAATCGCATCCAAACAAAGTTTTTGTTTACATAATATATGTGTGTGTACTGTGTATATTTATTATGTATATATAAATGCACACACATACAGTATACATTGACAATATTTTCACATATATATTTATATTCATATAATTTATATTATATATAAATATACACAGTACACACACATATATTATGAGAACAAAAACTTTAATTTTGGATGTGATTAATCATTGACAGCACTAATTAAAACATTAAGTAGTTATTTTAAATTGTAGTAAAAAAGTAGTGTATATTAAATAATTAAGACATCAATAATAGGAATAAAATCTAATGTATATGTTATATATTACATATATTAGAATTATTTCTAAAACATATTAGTATACATTATTAAAATATATAAAATGATACATTTGAAAAATATATTAATTATATTAATATATTTTTCCTGCTTACTAACGAGCTATTGAACCACTTTCCTGAGGTAAATGTAACATTAGACGAGCTCCTGCATATTTTACAGCAATAAATCTGCCATTTCAAATCATTTTTCCATGAATAAGCATTTCAATTAATTGGCAAATGAATTCCAGCAATAAGCTACTGAGCTTCATATTACATGATTTACTCAAATTCATAGATTAGACAAAAGTGCTATGGTCCAAAAGCACTTCCTGCACCAAATGTCTGTCAATAACCGACCAATTAGCGTCTGTTAGACTGAACGGGTGTCAAAATGTCTGCCTCTCTCTCTGAATACGCGCAGGAATCAACACCGTATCAGATCTCTTTTGCTGTGTTCTGGTATGATTATTCCTGAATGCACTAAATGGCGTGACAGACTCTATGCCAGATTTCAGCACGGAACTGAACAGCTGGAGAAACGGGGAGACTGTGAATGTTGCAGTCAACCAGTGATCAGACTTCATCATTCCACAGCTGCGAGTCTGACAACTACCTAACACATTAAGAGAATTAATTAGCAAAGTCTGTCGTTCAATGATGTTGCTACATTTGACTTTTACAGCTTGCTGGTTCCTTCGCTGAGACTGACTGATGCTTTCAAACAGAGATCAACTGTAAGTCATTTAAGATAAGTATTAATGCATTAGAGCTCTCACCTCTATTGTGATGACATAACGCTCTGCCAATAACAGAAGTCTCTCAATGATCACTAGTTTACTGGACCTGAGGACAGAGATGGTAATGAACTTCAATACATTTTATGTAATACATATCAATCTTGATATTAAATGACATCAGTCTTGATATTAATGATATCAAACTCTTTCTGAACAACCTTCAGATCAATTAAGACTTTAATGTTGCATAACACCAAGTCCAATGCAACTAAAGGACAAAGTATTAAATGTGGGATAAATGTAAGTTGTTGAAGATAAAACAAAAACAAATAAAAAACAAAAAAGAATAGAACACAAAAAACAAATCAATACAACAAAACAAAAACAAACAGAATAGAACAATACACAGAAATCAATACAACAAAACAAAAAGAAACAAAAAACAATAGAACACAAAAAACAAAAATCAATACAAAAAACAAAACAAAAACAGAATAGAACAAAAAGAAATCAATACAAAACAAAAAATAACAAAACAAACAGAATAGAACACAAAAAACAAAAATCAATACAACAAAACAAAAACAAACAAACAAAAAAACAGAATAGAACACTAAAAACTTAAATAAATACAACAAAAACACAAAAACAGAATAGAACACAAAAAATATCAATATAAAACAAAATAACAAAATACAACAAAACAAAACAGAAGACAAAAAGAAAAAATCAATACAACAAAAGCAATACAATAAAACAAAACAGAAGACAAAACAAAAATCAATACAACAAAAAAGCAACAAAACAAACAAAACAATAACTGTACATTTCATCAAACAGACTAATGAATAGCTGGACACAACTCATACAGGGGCAGAATCTAGACAGGTCTTTCTTCTGTGTAGACCAGTCCAGTAGTTCTTAAAGTGATAGGGGGTCCGCGAAATAATTTGCTATAGTCTAAAGTATTTCCAGACTGTAAAGTCGCTTTTTTTTATCATGATACATAGGCC